TCTAAACGCCTAAACCACTGTTGCTAATCCGTGTATGACTTTGAACTCTTCCTTCGCATTTTGTACTGAAGAACATCTTCATGACTTCTGCATAAGTTTGTCCATCCTTGTACGCCTGCAAACACCGTCAGAATCTGCGTAGAAGTTTCATCGATATGTCTTTCTGACGAAAGTTCTCTCTTGGCTCGATGATCAGTTTGAGCATTGTATTATATGTTTGATCCGTCTTTCGACGAATGAAGAGTTTTTGTGAGCACCAAAGACCTTCGATGACATTGAGCACAGTGAAACTTAGGACACCATCGAATTACCACACCATACTTTGCGGCCAGTTGCTCTAAACCTGAAACCTGTGAAGAGAGGATTCTGTGATAGTTTGAACTGTTGACTCAAAAATAATTTCTTACAGTCTTAAAGGCCGGATGATCGGCCAAAAGAACTCGCAAATCGTCGAGTTTAATCTTTGAGGGTACTTTGACTATCAACTCCCTGGCAATCTCATCAAGACCCTTGCTCTTCCCCTTATTGAATGATGTTTTGAAGATGAATATCAAAACACAAGGGGAGAGTCATTACAAAGACCTGGGCAAGATAGTACGAACACATAGAGAGTGATTATAAAGACCTGGAGAACATAGTACGAACAGAGAGAGGCATTACGAAGACATGGAGAACATAGTACGAATACATAGAGAGAGTGATTCCAAGGACCTAGAGCCATGACGAATACAATGATACTATGATCTAACCCTAGATGAATATTATAACACCACCTAACAAAGTATAAGAAAAGACTGATTGATATGCTGGAAAAGAAAAGCACATTAAAATTGAATTTGAATATAGAGAAAACGCGATCCTAAAACATAATATCTGGAATTCTGTACATTTAGACCTAAAGCTCCCTACAAAATTTATACAAAACCTCTCGGGTTCATCTAAAAACCTTCCAGAAATCCTCTAGAGATCTCGGCAGTATGCCCATAAAATTCGCTATGGTTTTTAATCTATTTGAGAATACTCAGACTTCATTTCGAGCAAAAGTCGAAAAAAGACCAGGAAAAGCCTTGCCCGTTTTCCTATAGTGCTCAGTAAAAATCGTTTTTCTCAGCGAAGAAACAAAATTTCGAAAAAAGCTCTTTGTTGTTTTGAAGCACGGCATCTAGCGGATCTAATGGCGTAAAAATATTGGCTCCAGCAGTTTCAGCGAAACCTGTGTTAGGTCTGCAGTTTTTGCCTCATGCTTTTGAGTCAAGCCGGTTTTGGGCTCCTCTGAAAAGTCTATTTAGGGTCTGGCGGTTTGAAAGTAATATTTCTAGACTCTGTTTTTGATGCTGAATCCAAAAAGCTTTGGGCTGAGCAACAGAAGTGAAAGACAAAAAAACTATGATTATTTTCCAAAAACCTTCGGATTTTCCGGTTTTTTAGAACCCCCTAGGATTTTTCAAATATCTCAGCGAAGGAAGACTTCTGAGAGTCGAGGAAGTGATATTCGTGATCAGCATGACTTAATCTATCTAATGATGTAAGAAAAAGCGAAAAAACAATTTCACTGTAAATTTGCTCTGCGTGCATCTTACATAAAATAAAGATTTAAGGAGTTTTTCAGAATGATTGATGCGACAACTTCATTGTTTACCCTATAGAAGGCGTAAAGTTTACTCAGTCATCTGGTTAACGTTTTCTAACATCATATAGGTATGAAACGTCTATTTTCGTAGCATGTTTTTCTAATCAACAGGACGTAATTGTCATTTAGAATTGTCATGCACGGTGCTCTGCTTTTATTTAACAGAAATATATTCTTTCACGTCTTCTAAATTAGTCATCGATCGGTTTAAATTTTGTTTTATCGATGAATATCTAGCATTTATTTGTTTTCTTTCCTTGCTGTTGGCATGCTTTTTAGAAAAAGATTTTAGCACTCAAGCGAAGCCAAGGTGAAAGAGAACAAGAAACTGAGTGAACGACGGCAGTGAATGTTAATCAGGAAAAACAGAAAAGAAGCAATTTGTTACACGAAAGCGCCATAACGAGAAAAAATACAAATAAAATATTTTTTCTTATATGTTTCATGACAGCAACATATAATAATGACGATGAATTACTTTTTCATCACTATCCCTTCACAGACATAGAACAAATAGAATTAGATGATTTTAATATGTTAGCAGGAGAAGCAAAAAGACCACCTAATATTCAGCAAAAACAACCGAGTTTATCAAATAATGACCAATACTGTCGTTCGACAACAATATGGCGCGTTTTGGTTGATATTTTTAGTTTGATTGCGCGTAAGTTGATAAAAAAAACAGTACTAGTGCTGAACAAACGTTAGTTTTCTTAAACTAAGAAACTTTAACGTGTTTTTTGATAATAATAACGGAATTCATAATAAAATAAATAAATTCTTTTCATTTCCTCTAAGCTTTATTTCAAAATAATCTTGACGTTTCGACTAATCGTTTAGTCATTATCAAGAGAAATACACATACAGTGAAAATTATTCAGAACAGAAAGAAATCTTACATATATATCTTATCAGAGGTCAGCATGGGCCGGGCTTTTGGTCGGACCGGATCGGGCCAAGCTTGGGCCGCAAACTACCTTGGTCGAGTCGAGCAGAACCGAACTCAAAATTTTTAACCATGCGTAGATTTGTACTTTATGTATATACTCAGTACCGAGAAAGAATATTATTACTGTTACGCGACATCTTAAGGGTATCCCCCTCCCTTTTTTTGCAGAAAAGTTTTCATTTTGAGCTGAATATACTCTAATGTAGAGGAAAGTCTGGGCTATGAAATGAGATCACTTCCAGCTCTCCATGACCTTCTTCGAAAAAATTATGAAGTTTTTAGCTTTTCATTCAAAGCCTAGAAAACTCAATTGTTTAGGTTTGTAAATTTTTCTCTCCTTTCCTATATATTCATAATTTTTTCTTATACATAGCATGATAGAAGAAAGTGCGCTCTTCAAACTGAGATGCCTTCCAGAATTTTCCGATGAGTTTTCGTAGAGATATAAGCATCGCTGCAAATGCCCTGAAAAACACAGCACTGTGTACAATATGTGTTTTTTCGACAGTCCCTTCAATCCAGTCACATTACGATCCATCGAAAAATGGTCTGATCGAGGTCAAATTTTTACTACAGATACTTCAGACTCTATCTCAGCTTGTAAATTTTTTTTAAGTGTTTTCGACTTCAACTTCCGGTGTGGGAAGGTTTTTAAAATCAAAAACCAGTTTTTTATACAGGATTTTTAGCATTTTTAATATCTCAAGAAGGAAAGCATATTTTTCAAAAAAAACTTATAACTTGAGATAGGATCTACAGTATCTGCGGCAAAAATTTGAGCTCGACCAGACCATTTTATCAAGGGGCCGTAATGTGACTGGATGAAAACTAGAGTTTTTCCAGAAAACCCATAGAGCAACATGTCGGAAAATTCTGGGCAAAAATACATCGATTTTCTTTTTCGATGCTCTATTTCTCGCATAAATTTAAGCTCAATCGGAAGTGTGCATTTGACAACAAGGTAAAGAAAGAGAGGGGCGGTACCTTTAATGACTTCGTTTAGCTAATGCCTTTAACGGTTGAAAAAATGAAAGCCAAGAAATCATAAAGATATAAATATTAGCTTGAGAAATACATTTACACCACTTAGCCAGCAAAAGCATTACAGATACAAGAAAAAAATCACGCCTGAGAGCAAAAAATTTTAAAAGTGGTCGGGCCGAGCTGCACCAGAAAAGTTTCAGGTATGATCATCGGGCCGGGCCAAAAATTTCAAGTAAAAACATCGCGATGATACATTACACAGTATAGATTGGGATGGCGTATTATTGATAGAGATAGGAATGAATACCGTTTATTGATCAAGGAGTCTTTGTCTATTGGTTCAATTAACCCTAGTCTCAATAAAACAGTTCGCTCAGTGCCGTTAAACATGTATCTTGGCGGTTTCTCACAAAATAACAAAAAAAGTAAGACGATGATTCATCCAGGTGGATAAAGAATAGACATGAATAGAAAGAAAGAGAACATTTGACAAGTTAGCTTGGCCAACCACTTCCCTACCGACAGGAATTTCCTACTGATCTTTTTGCATCTTGTTTCACTTATAATTTAGATTATAATAAAAAGCGTGTAGATTGCGGGAACATCTCAAAATCTTTTGCGCACTGTTCTGTTTGATCTGAGATGTTCCATCACTCGAAAATTATGAGAGAAACAAAATGCAAAAAGATTATTACGAAATTTCACTTGGTAGCCAAGCCGAAGTTGAAAATACCAGTCCGTCAGTAACAGGGCAGGACAGTCAAAAAAAATTTGACTTAGGCCAAATTTTTCACTTAAGCTAAAACTTAAATGTTTTGAGAAACAGGCTCCTGCTTGTTCCTCGCTGTATCTTCGTGTTGTTGTTATTATGGAAACATAGTGTTTGTTTCTTAATGAAAAGAATAAAATTAAATCGTTGTGATTTGAAATGCAGAAAGGTGTGTGTTTTTTCAACTTTGTCGAGAAAAGGTAAATATCTGGTATTTTTTCTGCAGGACCACGTGTCCTGCCCTGTCCTACGGGGCAGGGCATCTATCTGTTTTGAATAATTTTCCCTGTATGTGTATTTCTCCTGATAATGATTAGTCGAACGTCGAGATTATTTTGAAATAAAGTAATTAGAGGAAATTAAAAGAATTTATTTATTTTATTATGAATTCCGTTGTTATTATTAAAAAGTTGATTTTAACTAATGTACTGGCACTCAATTGATCAGACGTGTAGTTTAAAAAAAATCATATTGTATTTATCATCAGATTCTTTTGGTCGAACAAGAGTTTAATTATTGTCAGTTGCGTTTATATTGTTATCTTGGTTGTCTTTTTTTATCCAGAACTCGAGGTCGATAATTTGTTCATTTTCTTTAGTATTGATTGCCACGCTGTTGAGTCATTATGTGGCTGTACCATTTACTCGTGGCTATTTCTGTACGGATACATCGATTCAATATCCAGTTAAATCAAATACAATTCCAACCTATGCCGATGTTATACTTTCCGTGTTACTTCCCGTATTATGGGTATGTTTTAAATTTTGTTTCTTTTATTAGAAATATTTATTTTAAAAAATTGTATTTAGATGTTAATAACAGAATTTGCAAAATTCTTTTATTTTCGATGGTATCCACAGCAGCCAACTTTTTATTTACGATTGGAATTATGGGGTACAAGAAAAAAAGAAATTCATCCGTTTATAAGAAATTTATATATTTTAATTGGTATTCAAATTATATTGCTAACTAAAGAATATGAGCTTGTTAAATTTTTTCTTTCTAGTCATATTTCTATTTGGTTATCTTTCGACATGGGTGTTAACTGAAATAGCCAAAAATTTTGTTGGAGAATTACGTCCTCATTTCTTAGCACTTTGTAATTCAAGTGTTACCTGTACATGCACTTCAAATTGTGGTAGTAATGGTCAAATATATATAACAGATTATGTGTGTCAAAATCCTGATGCAACAGCAGTGAGAGAAGGACGGTAAGGTAGTGGTATTTATACAAAATCATCTCATCCACACTTCTCTTTCATCTTTCAGACGATCATTTTTTTCTGGTCATTCGTCAAGTATCTTCTACGGTGCTGCATGGTTAATCGTAAGTTCGTTTGTTTTTTCATCCTCCTGTTGACTGTGGCGCCATCTGATAGTGAAACTAGTTTACTGCGCTGTGATATCTAACTTGTATCGGAAGTTGGCAACCAGTGTTCTACGAGGAAACTTAGTCTCTATTTTCTTTTATTAGTAGATTACTTAATTGTTTGTTTAAGATGTATATTCACGTAGCATGGTCTTGGCGGCATTTGGGAATCATAGGAAACGTCTTTCAAACTGGTTTAGCTGTTTTAGCTTCTTACATTGGTAAAATATAATTCTACCTTTATGCTTATTTTAAAATATTATCTTTTTTTCTAGCTTATAGTCGTATATCTGACTTTCAACACCATTGGCATGACGTCTTTACAGGCGCAATAGTCGGTGCATTGATTGCATTCGTGACAGTAAGGTCTTTTTAGGTCATTTAGTGATTCGTAATCTATTATTGTTTCTTATTCAGTTCAAATTCATTTTAAATTGGCGACACTATAATCCACGATTTTTACCGTATACGGTTATTAGTGGTGCTTCTCCACCGTATTCAACTGGGAATTATAATAATACGGTACAACAGCGACAAGTGCTCAGTGCTCCAGCTGAGGTCTACGGCGATCACTTGAATAATTCTCGTCTTCGAGTTGTAAGACTCACGTAACACACATGTTGCCAGATAACCATTTTTTAAATTTCGCCTTTTCTGCTTTTTCTATTTTTCAATAAAAACGCGATTAAACAGACATATTAACGTGAAGAAAAAAATAAAGTGCATTTAGAGTCGCGGAAAAGTACTTTTTCGTATTCAGCATACTCGATAACCCAGCAGTTTTTATATTCTTGGCGTCGCCAAGAAGGCGATACTCTCAAAAGTTTAAGAAAAATTTTCAAATAAAATGACGAAAAGAAATTACCATCGGGGAGTATCATGAAGTCCAGATTTTTAAAATCCGGATGTTTTTAAGTCTGGGAAGACTTTTTATACGAAAATCCAACTCACCCGTGCAACTCCACCTGGATGTAATTTCATCCGGATTTAAAAGTCCGTAAAATTTTCGGATAATTCCCCCGACTAACTTCGGTAAAAAATATTCTATATGAGTTTTTCACTTGTTATAAAAAGCCATGCAAGTCCGATTGTTAATCAGTTGTATATTAGTCACTCCAAATGTACTGTAATAATGAAACTACTAGTATTACTATTATACTCTATGACATGCGGACTTGCATTGCTTTTTATTATTAGTGACAAACCCATCTAGAATTTTTCTCCCGGCCTTGAGAGGTTTTTTAAGAAGCTACTGGAGTTGATCGAGGAAATTCATCCAGAAATAAATCATCCGGATTCCAACATGTCCGGCAAATGATTCATCCCGACATGTTGGATACTGGATGAATAGTTTTCGGATGAGTTAAAAAAAGGATATAATAATCCGGATTTCATGACACTTCCTCATTACCATCTAACACAGAAAATATGGACTGCTATTTTCTGGTTCGTTCATACAGAATAGAGAAAAGAAGAAATCGACAAAGGTCGCTAATTTATAGCATTCGTTTTCCGCATTTGAGTGACATAGCGTTTCTCTTGTTTTAGAACTTAGCTATTTGTCATATATACTCAACATATCTTGCTTTTACAATTATTTCAGGGTTACTGATTTATGAAAAACTAAAGTCTGTCTACAAACGTGAGTCTTTTGCAAAAGACTCAGTTTGTAGAGCAAAAAGAACTCAAAGTTCTTTGCTCATATGCATATAAAATTATCTGAAACAGCTGAATTTTTATATAAATTACAATTATAAGTTGACCCGATATAATTCCTGTTGAGTCCAGCCTTGACTCTCAAAAATAATTGAGAAAAAGGAACTACGTAGACAGGAATTAAACCTGAGATCGAGTAACTTCAGGTTCAATCCCTGTCTACGTAGTACCTTTTTTTCGCTTTGTCTTTATAACCACTAGGCCACGCGTCATTATGAAAAGTGTTCTCTTTTCATTTATAATCATTAAAATATCTTTTACAGAAAATATTCGAATTTGGAAAAAACTAAAATTTAATTTTTCGATGAATCAAAAATTTTGAAACTTGAATTTCAATATTAATCAACAGCGTGCATTACAAAGCTATATAAGAAAAGCCTTTTTTCAGTTTAAAAATAATTCAAACTTATAAATCAAGATTTAAGAGAACTGAACAGGATGCCCAAATCCAATTTTTCGAAATCAGGAGTTGATCAGGAGATTTTTTTCGAAATCAGAAGAATACAACAGAAGAGCATCAGACAGTTTTTTTCTTGGACTAGTAAAATCTTCACTTTCACAAATGCTTGAGACTTTTTTCTACCAAGCAAATAAACCAAGATTTAAGACAATAGAAGCTATTTTACTAAACTATTTAGTCCAACATCATCAAAACGAACAACTAACTAAGTGTTGGAGAGGAAAGAAAATTCGCTCTCAGAGCGAATTTCCAAGAAACGCTACTAAGGCTTAGTAGCGTTTCTTGGGCTAGGCAGAATTTCAGCATGTTTTACCCGATTTTCTCCGCGGGAACACGAAGCAATTCATCTCAAGCTCAGTTTAAGGTTAAGTTTAAAATAAGTACATATGGCAATCTTATTTACGCTTCTCAATTCTCTCTTTCAATTACTGTGTACTTATTCTGAAGTTATCATTTAATTCAACTTAATCAAGTTTTTGTAACTTATCACATTTATACAGTTACTGCAAAAGAAAAATATAGTTTTTCTTTCTCCTTCTGATGTGAACATGTCTTTTGACTTATATATTACGTGTACGTGTATCTTTTGAATTAAATAATTCTATTGAAATTGTAAGATTTGCAAGACTTTTTTCTAATAAGAAAAAATGTTAAAAAATGACTTCTACAATTAAATCTGACAAACTACTCTTATCAAAGATTATAGAGTGAATGTTCTTAATTCACGAAAATTTAACGTCGGCATTTCACCTTTATTCTTGATAAATTTCTTCATAAACTATCAGGTGTTTTTATATTTCCCAGTCGAAGAAAGCACGATGAACTTAATGGCAAAAAAACATAATTAACTATCTAATGAACAAGTCATCCCGGTATATTGAATGGAAATCTGCCCGTTGGAATTCGCGGTGTCCACTAATAGAGGCTTTACAGTAGTCAGAAGTTAGCTAACTATAAAGCGTATAATAGCAGTTCTTGGATACAACTCTAAGCTATCACAGTTCTTTAATGATCGATTTCATCGTCTTTTTTCCAGAAAGTAATTTCTTCAGAAAGACAAAACATTCTAAAGTTATAAATTTTATTCCACTACAAATTTTCAGATCGAAGAAAATGGTCCGAGATCTTTTTTTACTTGAGAATAACTGAAAAAAATGAGTTTTTGCCAAAATTCGTTAAAGCAACAAAAATATCATGAAGGAGATTACTTGAAAGCTCGGAATTTTGTGAGCACAGAGAGTTTCATGTGCTCTATCGAATGAACTTTGAACGAAACTCTAATATTTTATCGTTAAGTTAAAGAATAGATTTTAATTTTTGTCAACATTTCCTTAAAACATGTATATCTCCCCGAGCATACATTTCCGCCTCCTGAAGGATTGAGTTTCGGATAGAGCTCAGAATTCTGAGTATATACAAACATTTTGAGCATATGTTTTGGCGGCTGTGTTGTGCCGATCTGTGGATATTTGAAAGATTGAATAAATCTTGCATAAAACAAGCACGTGACATCACGTGGACACTCTCACTGTATAGGAAAAGAAAAGAAAAAATTGTCTTTTTTACATATAGTTCAGAAAGGGAAATATATAAAACTTGATTTTTTATTTACCATAGTCTTGTTATTCAAAATAAATTTTATATTCATGGTCTAGATGAAAATCTGAATCTAACTATATAAAATTCGATTAGTTTCTCACATTTTTTCTTTGAATTTTTTGAATTTTTGAATTGAATGAATTTTATTCACGAAAAGTGAGAGTCATCAAAGGTCACCGACCTATAAAACAATGACTCGAGCCAAACAACAAAAGAATCTATAAATAGAAAAAAAAAGAATAAATAAATAAATAAATAAATAAAAGGTAAAAACTAGTGTAGTGTACGAAAACAGATAGTAAAGAAGAATAAAAAAGAAACAAAATAAAATAAAATAAAGTAAATAAAATAAGAGTAACAGCACTAGTTTTGTTTATACTGGCGATCTCTGGTTTCTTCGATCTCTGAGCAAGAAACATACTTCTGCGACATCGTTTTTACTTCTTTGCCTTTTGTTTGGTATTCACCAATGGGAAAGTAAGATTCACACATTTTCTTATCCGTAGCAGAATTCTTACCAATCCCGCTTTTAGCCACAATTAGTGGCAGTTATTTGTGGCTAAAAGCGGACAACGCAACTTTTTCTATTGGGTAGCAAAAATTCCTCCGTTTACAAAAGTTTGTGAGTCATACATATCTTCTCGTAATCTTGGCTGATTTAAATGAGAAATAGACATATGCTAAATCTCTTAAGTTTTAAATGAAACCGGCTTTATCATGTTGACAGCAAGAGTATTTTATGGCAATTGTCCGTTTTTGATAAAATCAACAAGGAGTGGATTAGTGACTAGTACTCCTGTTTTATTATTAGGTACAACAGATTATCCCCTTTGTTAATAAATGGAATCATTAAGTATTTGCTGTGATAGAAAATTGTTTTAACACGTCGGCTGTCAATGCATCACCGGTGATACATTTGGCTTTGTTTGTTTTTGACTCAGGCAACCAATATGTTCAAAGAAATGTGTCTATTTTTCTAGATAAAGTATAGTAACACAGCATACTGTGTAAATTAGATCAATTATTTGAAACGAAAAACTACAGAGAAACAAATTGTAATTAACAGATCACTAGCGTCAATATAAATAAAATTAACGTCGGATGCAAACAATAATAGTGAGATCATCGATGGAATGACCGAATTAAAATCGCGTACAAATTCACCTAGTAAATATAAAAATCTTGATTTTAACGTGGAAGACAATGGAGTTTATTTAACTAATGAAGCAAATCGTCATTTATCACATGTTGAACGGTAAGTTAGATAAAGAGAAAAAGAAGTTACAACATTATTAAATTCGTACTTCTTTAATATTCGACAAAGTGCAAATGATGATGTCGTTTACAGAGTGATGACACATGATACATGTATTAAATTCGGATGTCTTTATTATGTCTTTAATATTTCTAACAGATGTATTGATTGTCAAGTTATAAAAATGATTGTTTTATCGAGTTTATTTTTGTCTATATGTTATTTTCTTAGAATAATAATTTGATAGTTATATAATCTAGTTATCAATATGATGTGTAAATGGTAACAGATGCAAAAATCTCAATAATTTTCCATATTTTCACATCTTGGCAAATGTTAGCACATATGTATAAACATTTCCTAACATTTGCCAAGATGTGAAAAGATAGATATTCCTTATTTGATACGGCTCTACTGAAAAAGTCTCATATGATATTGATCTATAGGAGATCGATTAGTTGAGAAAAATTCAATTCGCACATGTTGATTCACGCATCTCCGCATGATAACATTCAAAATTTTACGCGTTCTTCCATTTTTACTAGCCACTCATTCGTATTTTTCATTTAGATGAAATATTGACCATTGTAAGAGATGAATTCACGTCCTGAAATATATCGAGTACGCGCGTTAGATCACGGATTCTCTTCATAGACGCATTTTTACTTTACTATCATTTTATGCTATGTTTCAAGATAGAATTTGGTCTGGGTGAGGATGCACATCCATATAAGACATAGATTGTCATACAGAACACAAAGTCAGATCAAGCTATTTGTCCAATCACTTCGGCAGAAAAAGCTATTTTTTTCTATATCTATCCTCATAGGATACTTTTTAGTCTATTGATAAACGGATTGTCAACGATTTAGAATTATGAATTTTGAGAAAAAATGCTCGAAAAAACGTTGTAGAAAAATTTGCATGTAAAGAATCTCTGATGATTATCATTATTTCGATCTGTTTCTAAAATGATATTTGCATTTTTATTTTATTTATTTTAGTCGCTCTAATAGACTGAAACCAATATCGGCTATTAAAATTTTATTCGATGCTGCATCACTGATAATAAGTATGTAGTTTGTTTTACGTGTTTAGTCTTAAGTTATCTATTATTATCTGTATGATTTTATTTAGTTGCATTATCCTGGTTACTTCTTAAATATCTTATCAAACCCGTTCGTCGAGCATTTTTATGTTCCGATCTTAATTTATACCGTAAATATCTACTTTATATTTAATATTTGATTATTATAAGTTCTCGTTTATGATATCTCGATTTAGATCCACAACCAGTCAAAAAAGTAATTCCAACATGGCTATTATTCGTGTTGGCAGTTATTTTACCAATTCTTGTCGTACGTAGTAGTCAATTATTCATTCCATTATTTGCACACATCTTGTTTAATTCATCTCATCTACATCTATTAGAGAAAATGTAGCACAAACATATGGTTACTCAGCTGAATAAAGACAAGATATATTATACTCACTAGAATGTCAGTTTACTTATAAACTTGTGTACTATTACAAAAGATAAAATGGGCTCACCTTGTTTTTTGTTCTCTTTATTTATTTAAACTCTCGAACAAAGTTTATCATAATACCAGTTTCTCAGAGTCCATTGCTTAACTCAACATAAAACTAAGAGTTTTTGAATATTAGTCATATGAGTAAATATTCTGATTTAAAATCTTTTATTCTCTTTCGATTTCGCTTAAATTTCGGCGAAAAAGTCAAAATTCTGCTTGTAGTTCTCAATTTTCTCCATTAGTACTCAACTTTTATGCAATAAAAATATTATATTCGGAATCAGGATAAAAAACTGAGTCGACTGATGTGTATTTCAAAATTGTTACTTGATTTTTCTGTTTTGATGAAATCTCGATAAAGGCTAAAGCTTTCACAATCAATTCAGCATCATTTTTAGAATCAGTTTTCGATGCGAAATCAGAAAAAGATAGTTTGAAAACTTGAAAGAACGATAAAGGAAGAAAATTGAATTACTTGAAAATCAAAAGCGCTTTTCGAAAGAGTGGACGGACCTTTTAAGTTTTAAGGATTTTTCGACATGAAAACAATGTTTGGGAAAGCTAAAACCAGATTTTTCTTATTCAGCTCGATGCGCTCTTCCTAATGATGTATGATTCAACGAGAAAAATGTTTTTGCGCATCTTTGAATTTCCAGTACCTTACTATTACAGCCGATAAAATAGGCTCACCTCTTTCTTTTTATTCTCTTTATTTATTTAAACTTGTTTTCTTTCTTTTCTCGAATAAAGCTTACAATAAGCTATATAGTGCCAGTTTCTCAAAGCCCATTGGTTAAACAAACATAAAACTAAAGGTTGTTGGAATATTAGTCATATGAGTAAATATGTTGATTTAAAATAAAGATCTAGAATTTTTTCTGAGTAATGTTTTTCAAATAAGGAAGAATTTTCCGACATTATTGATGACCAACAAGATTGTTTACTATCATTCAAATTTCTGTTTTTTAGTCTTTTAAACACGATTGTTAGAAATTTTTGTTCTAGATCATTGGCTCAGAATTTGTTCGTTGGTATTATATAATTCGTACAAAAGCAGCTCGAGCTGTTTATAAAATTAACTTTCGAAAAAAATCATACAATATACCAGAATGGTTTGGAAATTTATATATTATTCTTGGTAAGTGGATAAATGCTTAATATTTTAACTCTTACACTTTTTTTCGAATTTATTTAGGTGTTTTCATCTTTGCTGCATGTGCCAATTCATTTTTAACTAATGTTGGAAAAGTATCGGTTGGCCGTTTACGTCCGCATTTTATTCCATCTTGTTTTCAAAAATATGATTACACATCGTTTTGTACTCGTCCAAATGATTGGATAACAGATTATAAATGCATTGGTGAATCAAGTGATCTTATTAAAGAAAAAGATGGTGCTAACGATATTAGGTATATATATTCTAAATGCTAAGATATCGAAAGAAAACACTTACTTTTCTTCATTTTATGTAGACAATCATTTCCATCTGGTCACGCTTCAACAGCATTTTGTGGTTTAATATTTTTGGCAGTAAGTCCTTTAAAAGATTTATAAACTTTTAGAAAATGTTTGAAAGAGCTATATAATTTTAGTTAAATAGAATTGAATTATACAACTGGGGAATATAATAATCAATCCAATTTCATTGTGATGTTGTTTTTCTTCTAGTTATACATTCATCAAGTTTGGTGTTATCGTAATATCGGTCTGTTTCCCTATATCGTTCAAACTGGCTGTGTAGCACTCGCAGCATTTATCGGTAAGAACCAATAGAATAAATAGTTAAAATGATCAAAACTGATTGAACCGTGTTTTCGTTTTCTTTAGGTATAACACGTATAACTGATCATCGTCATCATCCAACCGATGTTTTGGCCGGTTCACTCCTTGGAACTATTGTTGCAATTATAGCTGTATGCTTTTATCTATTGTTTATAATCTATGTTTAGTTCATTATTGTGTGTCTTTCTATTTTAAGTTTCGATATATGGTTGCCCAATTTAAACATTCAACACTAGAACAAGGAGAAATTATAAGAAAAACGGACAAATCCGACGAATTTTGAAAAATGAGAATAAATTTTTGACTTTTTTTATTATTCAAGCTTATCTTGAGGGTTATTCAATATTTTATTTTATTATTATCTCTCTTAATGTAGAACATATTTATGTTTATATTCCTTTGCTCTAGGCAACTAGAATTGTTCAATACTAAAGTTTGACGTAGTGTGCATGAGCTTTTTCTACTGTTTTTGATGTGTATAATTTCCGCCGTATTTTACATTTTCTTTTGCTTCGATATCGATTATTTCGTTTGAATTTATTCTATTTTACCTGATCAAAATTTTTGTCATTTATTACCTACTGATATGAGTAAAAGTTGAACAAAAATTTATTCACTTTAACTGCTACTTGTTTTGACTACAAAATAGCAATTGTTTGAATGATAGGAACTCTACTTTTGCTATTATTTCGTTTTTTCACAAAAATGATTCTTTTGTTTGTAAACCATGTGTGTGTGTAACGCTAAAGTGAGAATATTTTAGATAATTTTAAATGGCTACAAATACTTCTACAATAATCACACAACCACGTAATATTTGAATCTACTAGTCTCATGTTATCAAAGTTATATTTTGATTTTTTTTCTCAGATGCTGACACAGATTATAAAGTAACAGAAAATAATACGGCACAAGACGAATATGATGATGAACAAACAATTGATGAAGAAGAACAAAATCAAACAATGTCAGCTGAAGATATTCAGAGTGAACTGGCTGAACTACAAGCCGTATGCAATTAATCAGAAAAAAGCATAGAAGTTTAAAATGATGACAAATTAATTTAATCTATTTCAGGAAAGTAAAATGCCCATTAGTGAATTATTAAAACTATACAGTTCTGCGCCAGATACAACTTCGAATCCCGTACAACAAAATTTGGATGAAGTAAATTTGTTATTTTTCCACTGGCTAAATTTAATTATTGTATTTGTTATCTTAAAAAGTCGTCCATATCATCTACTGATGGAAGTACGTCAACCACATCATCTCATCATGATGCAGAATATCAGAATTTATTAAAAAATACTACAGCTGGTCAGTTATTAAAAGTAAATAAATAATATTTTTTTCCATATAAAATCAAATTAAAAATTAAATATTTCTTGTTTAGAACCTTCAGACGGAAACGATGAAGAAGATGCTGACCCATCATATTCATTAGAATGGCAAAAAGTATAAATTTTTCTTGCACATTATTGATCAGTATTGTTTTCTTCTTTTGTTTTTTCTACTTCTTTAGTCAATAAGTGTTGGAGATCAATTTCAAGCACTTGTTTCAGAACTTATACCGAATACTAGTGGTACATTAGCTGAAAAAGAGCAGAGTAAGCTATGATATTTCGTGCTTTTATTTGTATATTTTCTCCTGTTTTTCATTTCTAGCTCACATTCTTGATCAATTATTGTGGTCTCCTGATAATATCAATGATACGTTAATCGATCAATATCTTAAACAAGCTTGTAAAGAATGTATGCTACGAACTAGTCACATTTTTTATAATGTTTTACAATATGCATTTCTTTCTTTACATAGTTCCAACGGCTGATCAAGAAATAGCATTAGAAATATTTATGTCGTGTTCATATGAGTTAGATCGAGCTTTAGAAAAATTTCGTGTATCAAACAAAAATATTTGTAGGTGAATCGTTGTTAAAATTTCTAATATTTGATAATAATCACAGCTTTATTTTCAGTTTCCATGACACCATGGTCTGTAAATGAATGTGATTTATTCGAAAAAGGTTTTAAAGAATATGGCAAAGATTTCTATAGAATGCATTTATTCAAAGTATGTTTTTCCTAATATTTCAATAAAACATATTTATCTGTTTATTTATGGATTTATTTAGCTACCGGATCGTACCGTACGCGAATTAGTTAATTTTTATTATATTTGGAAAAAAACTGAGAGACATGATATATTTGTACAACAAAATCAAGTAGAAAAACGACGTTTTCATTTGCATCCATTCGTAACGTAAGTTTTATCCATCAATTATATGCGAAAGAGGTTACATTCTAAAATAACTATAAAAAATCAATTAGTTGTTCAAATTTCTTTAATATTATTTTATCGAGTCATTCGTGTTACCAAACTATGTTTTTATTTAGTGATTTTCTTGAAAAATTTCTTGACGAGCAAGAACAACAGTTAATTAATACCTATGATAACGGCGGCGGAATGATATCATCCAATTTATTGCTGTCGACTGATATAAAACGACGTTCACCCTTACATAATTCAATTTCGACAACTACAATAATTGAAAAACGTTCACATGAGACTATCGAATTATCCACGAATAAACGACGTTGTACAGTTGAACATGAGAATAATTCAATTTTAACAAAAAATAATAGTATGTTGCCGGTTGTATTAATGGATACATTTGTTTCCAGTCAAGAGAATGGAGATGAAAAACAGACTAAAGTGAAAAAAACTGTAAAAGTACCAATATCGACCATCGTTACGAAAGAGAGTGTTTTACTATCGAATGATGATACAAAACTAAGCCCAACACTAACTACTCGCACTATTATCGTTGAAGAAGTGACTCAAAGTGAGCTTGTTGTTTCAGATTTGACATCTGTGTGATTATTTTTTCTTTTTTTGAATCATTTCGCTTTACTCTTCAAAGTTCAAAGTGTGTGATTATTCTCTTTGTGATTTTTCTTTGTTCTATAACTGAAATTTTTTTAATAAGTGTTTCTTTCATTAGTGTCTATTCCATTTCGATACTTACATCGATTTAGTAAAAAGTTTTTTCGGAACTATTTGTTCTATTCAATTTTCTTAAAAAGATGTATATTCTTCATCATGCTTGCCATAGTAAAAAGGTATTTAGATGATAGTAACTTACTCAGCAAACAATGATAAGCTAAATACTAACTATATTTTCGAATACTCCAATCAACGTTTATCTTAGTTCTTTCACTTGCAATGTTTAAAAGTTCGAGCATCTCAAAATGTGAGAGTTTCATACCTACAAAACAACTTTACAGTAGTAGATGAGGTAATTTCTTTTCGTCATTTTATTTGAAAATTTTTCTTTTGACAGTACCCCCTTCTTGGTGACGCCAAGAATAGAAAATCTGCTGGGTTATCGAGTATGCTGAATACGAGGAGCCGGTATGGAACCGGTATAGAAATGTGTTAGACCGTTTCACTTGATACGTTGTTTAGTTGCTCATTCTCACGTCTTACGATGTTCTTGGATATTCTCGTCCTTCGCTGAAAGTCTATAAGCTCAACCTTTCACTCTAAAGTCTACTTTAATGAGAATTCATGTTGTAGAACATGTGAAAACATCTGCAAGTTTACTTTCCGCCAGTGTGAATTAAAATATATATATCGTGTCTCTTATAGTTTTATGTTGAAGTTGACTATTCTAATCTAAGTTGAAAACTTCGATATTAATAAATAAAATGATGAATTTAGTTAATTGTAGTAAATAGTAGAAATAGTAGAAGTGATTGCATGTTTAGGGCACAGAATAATAACAACTACTTTCTTTCAAAGAAAAAAGTACTTTAATCACATTCTGACAGTTTATTCGTATTGTCTCGTTATCTATCACACCCACAAACATATTTCAATTTCAGTTTCTTTACTCAAGAAATTGTACTGGGCTATATGGAACATTCCATAATTTAGAAGGGTTGTTCCACTAACAGCAAGATCCATCAAGTTCTATCCAATTGCGCAGCACTTGCGCGCAAGTCGCAGATCGAAGATTAAGGATACTCCTCTTCTGAAACAAAAATGATCGACTTTTGGGTTAACTATGATGATAGAGTCAAGTGTCCTCTACAATTTGAGATCATTTACAGATCTCCATAATCTTCCCGCCAAATATGAATTTTTAATGTCTGTCATTTGATGCTGAAAAACTCTAATTTTTAACTTTCAAACTTTTTTTCTTTTCTTTCCGCTGAAACAAGATTTTCTCAAGTATCCGTTCTTATAAACTGAAGAGTTGTAGAGTTTTTAGAAAGAGCGTTTAGACTGAAACGTCTTTCAGCTTTCTGCGATGCTTCTTTCAAAGTTTATCTGTATTTTGCCAAGGTTTCCAGAAAGTAGCTCTTGTGTTCGGATGTTCCTGCAAAAAAATTTCAGTATGCATGGTATGCTGTGAGCTACTGGTAGGCGTCGGTACGCACCAGCACTGATAAAAATTATTTTTGCAGCCCTTCAGCTCCTTTTTCTCATATGGACGGCGATTGAACTCTGGCAGCCTCAGAATGAAATTCCAGTTCGCCATGAAATGTTCATATAAATCCTCAGCATTACACCTTTCCCGAAAACCATACCTAAAAATGACGGCTCTAAAGTTTGAGTAAAAAATATCCCAATTTTATTTTTTGAGGAAATGATGCGGTAAAAATTGTAGCTTTCTCTAATCACTCGTTACGATTCTGGCACTAAAAAATGTGTGTGTGTGTGTTTGCTCTTAATGCCGTTCTTGAGAAAATCGAATGTTACTCTTCAAGAAAGTAGTATCATTTCTGGGATATAAAGCATAATTGGTTTGGACATGGATAAGATAACCGTTGTCGGCATCATTTTTACTTTAGCTTCTCTTTGATTAGCCGCATTGGTCAGTATATATACTACGTTTGAGCCAGATTGAGTTAGCGGAAACACATCGAAGAGAATCGTGTAGTTCTACAAAAATGTGCAAAACAACCTATTGTTGCTTAAGTGTCAAATAACGATGGAGAGAGTTTCCAATCTTGCTGGACGATCGAAAAAAATTTTAAGATGATGAGTAGTCACTATAAAAAAAGAATGACTTTTGAATGTCATCAGATGAATTCAATCTGTCGGAGCTTGCTCTTTAGTTCCACGCAAGTCGGACATTTTTATCTGACAGCGTTCTTGGATGCTGAGACGTTTCCTGAGAGTGTCAGGATTCCTCTTTTTTTTCTGGCCGGGACTCTCAGCAATACATGGACACATATGTTATCGACCATGGCGAAGCTCATGGCAATGGTTTTATATCCGTGGACATATTGTTTTAAGTAATACATGATGATGCAGTAAAAATGACCTGGTCTACTGCAAAAAACTCAGGTTTAAAACTTCATTGTTTTATTTTCACGTATATTCTTGCTAACGAGGGAACCGCCCGAGGTTTTCCAGAAAACCGGGTCTTCAAGAGCCCTCCGCAGAAACCCATTTAGGCTTTTTGTCAGCTCGATGCCCTCTATCAACTGAGGTATGAACGAAGAAAAACGGAGAGTATCATCTTGGGCGGTTTCATCGTAAGAAAAAGTGTAATCATGTTGAAATAAGATAAAAAACCAGTTAAAGACTGCCATTCATCGTCTGCTGAAACAGTTTATGGTTCATTATCACTGCCATCATCAATAAGATCGGCTTCGAGATCTTCCACCAGGTTGTTGGCTTCTTTGAAAGCCTCCTTCTGTTGTCGTGCGTGCTCAGTAAAGCCTGGTGCTGCATCACAAGGAAATATATCGATCGAGCGTAAATGAATTCCTAAGCTGCTACGCAGAGCACTGATTAGCAACCTGGCTCCTAAAAAGTGATGAGTGTTATCTCAGGTAAAAACAAAAAAGCGTCCTAAAAACTAACGTACTTCTACCCTTGCTATTCTAAGTCTACCACATTGCCCATCGTCCAACTAAACTGATCGCTTTTCTTAGTCGCTGTTGGTCCAGGTTTCGCCGTGATAATAAATTTGTGTACCGACATTTATCAGTTCTTCTAATATCCTACAAAAATAAGCACATTGGACGAGAAAACTTCTTCCATCCAATGAGATAGACGTTTTCGAAGTTTATAACAAAATTCAGTTTTAATCATTTGTCGCCATAAAGTCATTTCGTTTTAAACAGGAAAGGCTGGATCTTCTGTCTGTATCCGCATAAGAATTTTCTATAGAGTTGAATATTCTTTTTCTGTCAGTAATAAATGAAAATGTAACGGTTGAACGAATGAAAACGGAGCCAATTGGTCAGAATATACTATTATTATTTTTTCATAATCTGGCAATCTTACCTTGAAAAACTGGTAAGGTGCATTCTGATAGAGCTCATGCGGAAGTTGGATTTTACACGGATCAATGTCTTGAGGCTTATCTACACTACACACTGGTGAAACCTTTCCATCTCTATCTCATTGTGTTAAAAAGTTATTCAAAAAATACCCATTCTTTCTCTATTTTGTCATGGATAGTAGTAAAAAAACTGTCATGTTTACTCGATGGGATCGTCGATTGGTGATTAAATAAAGCATTGTCATTCTAACTAATGGCATAATAAATTTTTCGATAGAACTCTCTTTGCATCTGACCATACTCGTTGTTTGCGTTTTCTATAGTGTAAATATCTCTGTGGATTATTAAATTTTCTCACATCTGCGTAAAAAATAAATGTTTTTAATGAAAATGTATTATCTATTATTCTCTTTTATCTCTGTCTGTCAAATAAAGTCAACTGATCGATAGAGTAATAATCATCGTTATTTTTGAAAATAGCACAGGTTCTAGAATTAGTCTTAGATTTAAGACAACGGTTGTTGTCACGACAAATGTATCCAATTGATAATTAATGATTTCTATACGTAGAGAAAAGAAAGAAAAAGTTTTTCTGAATATATTTTCGAAATATAAAGCTAATAGCAAAGAAACAAATTAATTGTGATCTCCAGTGGTTAACCGACATTCTTGGTTAAAAAAAAACACAGTTAAGAACGATATAATTAGTTAAATAACTATGCCAATAATTGGCATGCTTTCTTTACAGGTACAATGAAAATGTCTCAATTAATTATCATTGTTGTTAATATTTAATTATAGAGTCAGTTCATGAACAGACAACAATTCACAACAGAACAAAATTATCAAAAATAACAGAAATTTTTATCTGAAACTATGATTGAAGATAATCAATCAGTTCTAGAAACAGATGCCTCATAATGTAATTAGATCAATGAAATTCACTTTTCTATTAGAGATTGCACGAGAAACCGTTTTTTAGACATAAAATTGATTTATATAAGCGGTTCTTCTATTCTAGAAGAAAATATTGGTATTGTTCGAAAATTGGTTATTCATATGAACTACTTCCTAAATTCAAGTAAAATATCGTTCAACTTTTGTTCTGACATGTTATAAGAAGCTCATCAAGAACATTTTGTTTCTTACATACATTTAAAACAATTAGCAGCATTGGAAATATTTTTCTTGTACAATAATTCATTGCTGTTGAATATGATAAGTTTATTTCTTCTAACTTTTATTGTTGTTTATATTCTTTCTTTTTAGGTATTGTGTCGATCTGAAAGAAAAAAACATTTTTTCTTAGTGAAAACATTTTTTCAAAGATAATACTAGTGGTACAAATATTTGTTTCTTGTGTAATGAAATTTTATGACGATGTCATCCTTGAACGTTAATCAGAAATGCGCACAAAAACTTATCTGATTTCTATTTTTATTAATAAAAATTCTAGAATGATAAGAGTAAACGATATTTCATTTTTAAATGTATTTATTTAACATGGACTAAATAGAAAAGAAATCCTCCACGGGCATTTATTTTATTATATTTGAAATTCAATTTAATCTTTTCT